TGCTCTTTCCTTTCATAATTGTATTTGCCAACACTTTGACAGTGCTGGACACAAAATACCTTATGTGTGGGTCTGAATTTAGTTTCTTATATTTTATGGTAATTCTAACCCAAAATCATGTGTGAGCCTGTATGTATTCCCTCCCCAGTTCCTCCCCCAAATGATAAGGTGTAGGTGCAGACACTTGGCTATAGGAATTCATTCGTTCCTCAATAATAATAACAGAACAACATAGCTTAATCCCTTACTGCCTTCCCAAACAGTGGTACCAGGTGATGTGGACAGGCAGCCTGTTCCCTGTTTTTACAGGCTTCATTTCAGTTTCTTTTCACAATAACCTTCCCAGGAGGGTTTCATTATCTCCTTTTTACAAATAAAAGTCTGAAACTCAGGAAGTTGATGGAACTTGGCTGAATCCAAAACTCAAGTATTGTGGAAATCCAAAGCCCATCCTCTGAATGGAAATTTCTTTACCTTTTTAAAAGTTATTTATCTTTATGTGTATGAGTATTTTGCCTGAATGTATGCATAGTATGTGTATCACATGTGTACAGTGCCCACAGAGGCCAGAAGAGGGTATCAGATTCCCTGGAACTGGAGTTACCAATGGTTGTGAGCCATCATGTGGGTGCTGGGAACCAAACCCAGATCTTGAGCAAGAGTAGCCAGTGCTCTTAACCACTGAGTCATCTCTCCAGCCCCTTATTTATTTATTTATTTATTTATTTATTTATTTATTATTTAAAATTACATTTATTTTTGCGGCAGAGAGAAGTGGTTCCTTTGTGCCACAGCATGTGTGTAGGGGTCAAAGAATGGCTGATACCTTCACCTCCTCAGCCATCACCAGTTTTATTTATTTTTATCTTTGGGGTCGGGGGGGGGAGAGAGAGAGAGAGAGAGAGCCCTCTTTTTATTTTTTAATTAAATCTGTGTGTGTGCATGTGTGTGTGTATACACTACAAAGAATAAATTCAGGACTCAGTTTTCTCCTTCCACCATGTGGGTCCTGGGGATTGATCTCAGGTGGTCAGACTTGGTGGCACGTACCTTTACTCACTGAGCCATCTTGCTTTCCCTAAGAGCTAATTCTTTTAAATTTTTATTCATTTTTATTTTTATGTGTATGAATGTTTGGCCTGCATGTATATAAGTGTACCACATGCATGCAATGCCTGAGGAGGCTGGTAGAGAGTGTCAGATCTCCTAGAACTGGAGTTACAGACATTGTGATCCACCATGTGGATTCTGGGAACCAAACCCGGGTCCTCTGCCAGAGCAGCTAGTGCTCTTAACCACTGAGATATCTTTCCAGTCCCTATGAGTTAATTCTTCACTTGTGCCATGCACCTCCCTCCCCAAGCTCCCAAGACTCTCAGTCCATCATTGACCATGAATCACTGTCCCTTTTCTGCCCCTCCTCTCTGTCCCCCTAAGAACAGTTCTAGACCCAACCCCCCATAACTGTTGCCTTCTCTTCCCCCTTTAGAACAACTTTCTGAGCTTTGTCTCCTGTTACCTCTGTGTCCTTCACTCACCTCTGTGCACACTACAACTGGGTTTCTCTTTCATCAGTTCCCTAAGCCTGCTACTTGCCCCACTTAGGAAGCTACCGGAACCTGTTCTCCTTATCTTCCTTGACCTTTAAACTGAGGTGTTTACCCTCCCTTGGCAAATCCACACACACCCAGGGTTCTACCACCAGGTGTCTACCTGCCAATCATCAGCTCCATTCCTGTTGCCACAGATGTTTCCAGCCTCTGCATATGGTAGGTGCTCAATAACTACCCAGTAAATGAAAGAAAAGGGCTACCAGTTGCTCAGGAAAGCAACCAGGGGCTGAGAATGTGACTCAGTTGGTAGAGTGCTTGCCTAGCATGCATGATGCCCAGGGCTCCATCGTAGCACCACATAAACCAGACATGGTGATACATGCTTGTAATCCCAGCACTGGGGAGGTGAAGGCAGGAAGATCAGAAAATTAAGGTCATCCTTGGCTTCATAGTGAGTTTGAGGTCATCCTGGGTTACATGAGAACTTGTCTCAAAAAAAAAACCTTAAAATTGTCAGAATAAATTAAAAGGGAAAAAAAGGAGAAAGACTAGCTCCTTTTATAAGTCAGTTTGGTACATGTATTCAACGCTGTAATAAATCATATTCAAGTCTCGGGCTGCATGTAGCAGACAGCTATATATGTGGCCCAACACAAATGGTAAACTTATTTAAAACAAGATTTAAAAAAATATTCATTATTTTATGTATATGAGTGTATTGCCTGTGTGTAAATGAACCTGTGTTGTACAATGCTGGAGGAGGTCAGAAGAGGGCATCAGATTCCCTTGGAACTGGAGTTATAAACGGTTGTTAGCCACCACGTGGATTCTGGGAATCGAACCCAGGTCCTCTGCAAGAGTAGCCAGTGCTCTTAAATGCTGAACCATCTCTCCAGTCCCTTAAAACAAGATTTTTGAGTGACTGCTTGCTTCTCAATTGTGCAGTTCACAAACCTGAACTCTGCAAATGACAATATTGTACTGCAACATCACACAAAATAAACCTATGGATGTTTTTGCAACCCTCTGGGTTGGACAATGAGTGTCTATAACAAAGCTTGTACATTGAAAGTTTACAGAGGAATGCCAACACATGAACTGGTTTGTGTATATGAAAACCACATCCAAAGGCTGGGAGATGTGCTTGCTGCACACACGAGGACCTGAGTTAGATCCCCAGCACTCACTATGTACCCCAACTGGCCTTGAACTCACTGTCTTCCTGCTTCTGCCTCCCTAGTACTGGAATTCCAGGTGTGCCTCCCTGTACCTGGTTTACCCAGATGTCTTTTTGCTGTAAAACCCACATAATTATTTTTTGAATCAGTGAGTAACTTCAAACAAATGGAACTTTAATTCATTAATGCTCCTGAAAGCTGAGTGTGGTGGCACAGGCCAGTAACCCAAGAACTTAGGAAGCTGAGGTAGAAAAATAGTGAGTATGAGGCCAGCTTGGCCTACATAGCAAGGCAATATGTCAAAAAACAAAAAGAGCCAGACATAGTGTACATGCCTTTAATCCCAGCACTATGGAGGCAGAAGTAGGCTAATCTCTGTGAGATCAAGTCCAGTCTGGTCTACTTAGCGAGTTCTAAGTCGGTTAGGGCTACATAGTAAGACCTTGTCTCAGAACACAAAGGGTTGGAGAGATGACTCAGTGGTTAAGAGGAGTCACTGCTCTTACAGAAGACCTGAGTTCAAATTCTAGCACTCACATGGCAGCTAACAACCATCCTTAGCTCCAGTTCCAGGGGATCTGACACCCTCTTCTGGCCTCTGAGGGCACTGCGGGACATGGGTGCACTTACGTACATTCAGGCATAACACTCATACACATAAAATAAAAATAAAGTTAAAAATTAAAGCCAGGCATGGTGGCGCACACCTTTAATCCCAGCACTCGGGAGCCAGAGGCAGGTGGATCTCTGTGAGTTCAAGGTCAGCCTGGTCTACATAGTGAGCTCCAGGCTAGCTACAGAGAAACTGTTTCAAAAAAAAAAATTAAAAACATACACCAGGTATGGTGGTGCATGCCTTTAATTCCAGCACTCAGGAGGCAGAGGCAGGTAGATTTCTATGAGATAGAGGCCACAGTGATCTACATAGTGAGTTCCAGGTGGGTTGGGGTTAGGGAAACCTTGTCAAAAAAAAATTTTAAAACAAAAAGGCACCGGGTGTGGTGGTGCATACCTGTAGTCCCAGCACTTGGGAGGCAGAGGCAGGCGGATCTCTGTGAGTTCAAGGCCAGCCTGGTCTACATAGTGAGTTCTAGGACAGCTGGGGCTACAGGGAGACCCTGCTTCAAAAAGACCCCCCCCAAAAAAAGGCTAGAGATGTAGTTCAATGGTAGGTAGACAAGACAGACAGAATTTGCAAGGACTTGGGTTCAATCTCTACCACCACAAAGAAAAAACTCCTAAGTATTTCATCATCTGGACAGAAATAAAAGTTTTTTTAAGCTGAAAAGCCTTTTATATTTTTATTTGTTTGGCTGGTTAGTTTGTTATTGCTGTGGTTATTTTGAGGCAGAGTCTTGATATGTAGCCCTGGCTGCCCTGAAATTTGATATGTAGCCCAGGTTGACATTAAAATTGCAGCAATCTTCCTGCCTCAGCCTCCCATGTTCTGGGATCACAGGTATACATCACCATGTCTGGCTTCTAGCCTTAAAAAATTAAGGATTTTATTTTTATTTTATGTGTGGTTTGCCTGCATGTAAGTGTACCACATGCATACAGTGCCCTCGGAGACCAGAAGAGGGTGTCATATCCCCTAGAACAGAGTTACAGACAGTTGTCAGCTGCCATGTGGATGTTGAGAACCAAATGCAGGTCCTCTGCAAGAGCAGCCAGTGCTCTTAACCACAGAGCCATTTCTCCAGCCCCCTATTTAAGACTCTTGAGATTGGGACTTTTTTTTTTTTTTTTTTTTTTTGGTCTTTTTGAGACAGGGTCTCCTTGTAGCCCCAGCTGTCCTGGAACTCACTATGTGGACCAGGCTGGCCTCAAACTCACAAAGATCCACCTGCCTCTGCCTCCCAAGTGCTGGGATTAAAGGCGAGCGCCACCACGCCCGCTCGACATTGGGACTTTTTATCTAACATAGACTGACTTGGAACTCTAGATCCTCCTGCTTCTGCTTCCTAAATGCTGGGGTTAAAGGCACATAATACCACACCTGGATAAAATTTCTTCTTAAATGGCAAACAAGAAAGACTGAAAGTCCAGAAAGACTGCCTGCCATAATTAACTTAAGCTGTCAACTTTACACAACTGAGTCACCTGGGAGGAGGAAACCTCAACTGAGAAATTTCTTACATCAGATTGGCCTATGGGCATATCTGTGGGGCATTTTCTTAATTTTTAAGTGATGTGGGAGGGTGCAGCCCACTGTGGGTAGTGCCATTCCTAGGCAGGTGGACCTGGCTGTATAAGAAAAGTAGCTGACCTTGAAGCCTGGGAGAGGCCCAGTATGCAGTGTTTCCTTCACGGTTTTCAGTTCCTGTCTCCAGGTTTCTGCCTTGTCTTCCCTCTAATGAAGAACTGGTACCTGGAAATGTAAGATGAAATAAACCTTTGTCTACAAGTTGCTTTTGGTCATGGTGTTTATCACAGCACTAGAAAGCAAACTAATATACCGCCAAAGACAAAAGCCTGTAGGGACTGGAGCTGGAATCCGCAAATAAATGATAGGCAGGCGTGGCTGGAGCAGGGGCGTTGGAAACCGGATCCCAAGAGCAAGCTGGCTAATTGGAATGAGCCGAATCAGTGAGTTCTGAGTTCAAATGAGAGACTCTGCCTCAATACATAGGGTGCAGAGTGATCAAGAAAGGCACGGGAGCTTAACCTTTTGCCTCTGACCTCGACACACACGTGTGCACACATACAAGCAAACACGAGGGGGGGGGGAGAGAGAGAGAGAGAGAGAGAGAGAGAGAGAGAGAGAGAGAGAGAGAGAGAGAGAAAAGAGGGGAGAGGGGAGAGGGGAGAGGGGAGAGGAAACACTGTTTAGTGGGTAAAGAAAAGGCGCTTGTTTCCAAGTCTGAAGACCTGGACCCACATAGTGATAGGAGAGTCCCTCAAGTTATCCTTTGACCTCCACAGAAGCACTGTGGCATGCCCCGCCCCAAGGTAATTTTAACAAAGTTTTTAAATGAAAAAAAACTTAATAGAGATTTTAACGGTACTTAATACCCACACAGTGTCCCAAAGAGAGATGGATCTCTCATGTATCTCAATAGGGGAGATTAGAAAATAGGAGAAGAAAGAAAACCTTGCAAATGAGTGTCATTTCAAAACTTGAAAAGGAAGTCGTTGGCACTGAGGCGGAAGCCCGGGAGAAAGAAGTTGCCAGGACTCTGGGTCCTTAGCACCGCGGGCTGCAGGGTCTGGCGGGGGCCCGGCCGCGTCCCCTTTAAGGGGCGTGGCAGTGGGCGTGACCCCAGCTCCAGCCTGCTCTCCCAGGCTGCCCCGCGCGCGTCGGCAGTTCGGCCACGTCCCTGGCCACGTCGCGCCCGCTCTCGCCATCTTTCGCCGCTTCCTCTCAGGGGCCACCGCCTCCTCCTGAGTCGCCGCTGAGCCCCGGGGCTGCCGCGTCGCGCCAACCGCCGCCGCCATGAACATCTTCCGGCTGACAGGGGATCTGTCCCACCTGGCGGCCATCGTCATCCTGCTGCTGAAGATATGGAAGACGCGCTCCTGCGCGGGTGAGCGGCCGCCGGGGCGAGGCGCGGGAAGTGGGTCCGGGTGGTCCAGGAGGACCCGTTGGGCCACCGGTCGCTCCGGTCACTCCGAGGCCTGCGTGGGGCCTGCGATGGTTGGACACACCCCCTTCGATTGGATCGGAGGGATCGAGCCCCTCGGGGTGTGCACTCCGGGTGTGCACTCAAGCTGGGGCGTCCGGTGCATCGCCGGGCCCCGCTCCGCTCCAGGTCCGTTCTCGAACTTGATCCGTGCAGGCGCAGCAGAGAGTGCTGGTGGAACTGCCTGGAGTCGGATTCTGTCTTAAAAGTTTAGGATAGAACTGGGGGAAGGGTCCAGTAGGAGTGTCACTCTCTCTGGGATTTTGGGGGGGCTCTCCTTTGAGTCCCCGGGAATCAATGGGAGACTAGCTCGAGGCGGACGGGCTGGATCGCTACTGAGTTGGGCCTGACGTGGCAGTCGGGCGAGCCGGGGAGGTGGGGCCGGCTGGAGAAAGAAGGAGCCCTGCTGCTCATCGTGTTCACTTCAAGTGGGGGGCTGTAGGATGTCGGGTCAGGCCTGTGCTTATAGTTGAGTGAGCCACGCTCGAGCCCTGGGGTTTAGGATCGCACCCTCCACGAAAAGGATGCGGGTCTTTTAAGTGAGTTTCTTGGCGCAGTTTCATGCTACTTTTGAGAAGCGAATTGGTTTGTCAGAGTCTTGAGTGTGGCCATCTAATAACTAGTTCTCTTCAAACTGCAAGCCCTGGGTACCACTGAGGTCTCATCAGTTTCTCGTTTCCTGGCTCCACGTCACCATTGAGTTGGCCTAGGCCCTCCCCGGTAGTACTCACACATTCCTTGCAAGCAATGCAGGGAGGCTACAGAGTGAATCTTCCCCACAATAGCTATGGAGTTCAGCATTTCATTAAACGATTAAGAATTTGTGCATTTTTAAATTTCTTACTGGATGTGATGAGGCATATCTGTAATCCTAGCACTTGAGAGGCAGAAGGTTAATCAGTTAATTAAATACGTTTTTATTTACTATTTTAAATTTTTATGTGTATAATTGTATTGCTTGCATGTAGGTAAGTGCACTCCTGTCATGCCCGCGGAGGTCAGAAGAGGGCGTTGGATCCCCTGGAACTGGAGTTAGAGATGGTGGTTAGCTGCATGTGGCTGCTGGGAATCAAACCTGGGTCCTCTGCAGGAGCAGTCAGTACTCTTAACTGCTGTGCCATCTCTCCAGACCTTAAATACATTAAAGATTTTTTTACTTATTATTTTAATTTTTTATGTGTATGAGTGTATTGCCTGCATGTATGCATGTATGTAAGTGCACCTGCATCCTGCAGTGCCCACAGAGATCAGAAGAGGGTATTGGATTCCCCTGGAACTGGAGCTATGGACAGTTGTTAGCCACCATGTGGGTACTGGGAACCAAATCCAGGTCCTCTGCAAGAGCAGCCAGTGCTCTTTAACCACTGAGTCATCTCTCCAGCCCCAATTAAATACATTTTTAAAATTCCTTCTTTAAATTTACCTTTGATGCTCTGGTTTCCCAATGAAAAAAACTTGATAAACTCAAGAATTTAATTTTAACATCTCCATATCTAAAATAACACCACACCTTTGATTCTGTAGCCTGCAGGACTCACCTATCTCCCTAGAACATAGTTGAGATTCAGGACGTAAGCAAAACCAAAAAAGACCTTTGAGCAGTCAAAATGGATGTTACAAAGTCCATATACTGAAACCAGAGTGTCTGATGTGGAGAGGATCTGAGAGGTTCAGTTGTATGATTTGTTATGATAGTAAATTAATGGCAGCAATTGTGATAGCTGACGTCTGAACACCTGCTGTGAATCAAGTAGTCAGCTCAGTGTTTTATGTGGCTCATCTCAGGCAGTGCTTAAAATAGCCTTGTGGGGTAGGTGCCCTTGTCCGCATTCTGTAAAGAAGGGAATCGAGTCTTGAGGGAGGTGAGCAAAGTTTTGTTGAAGTCAGGATTGAAACACAATCAGTAATTTATAACTGAGGATTTTAAATAAACATTTCTCTCCTTTTGCCTAAGCAATTTTGGTTTATACTCTTGATGCCAGTGGTTTGGGAATTTTTGTTGTGCTTAGATGCTACTTTAGCTTTATTTAAAAATCTTTGAGTCTCTTCATCTTTGTGTTCTTCTGCCAAGTAAAGTGTTGTGTCTACACTAAGCTGTTTGAGGGACAGTTCGGCGCAACCCCAGAAATAGAATTCTGTGTAGACCAGGCTGGCCTTGAACTCACAGAGATCCACCTGCCTCTGCCTCCCGAGTGCTGGGATTAAAGGCATGCACTACCACACCTGGCCTATTTATCTGTATTTTTATGTGCATAAATATTATGCTTGCATGTAGGTAAGTGCATCCATGTTGTGCAATGCCCTTGGAGGTAAGAAAAGGGTATTGGATCCCCTGGAACTGGAGCTATGGATGGTTGTCAGCCTCCATGTGGGTGCTGGAATTCGAACCCAGATCTTCTGCAAGAACAGCTAGTCCTCTTAACTGCGAGCCATCTCTCCAGCTCCGTTTGCTTTTGAGACAGGGTCTCCCTGTAGCCCCAGCTGGTCTGCAACTGGATATGTAGAGCAGGCTGGCCTCCATCTCATAGATCACTTGCTTCTGCCTCTTGAGTGTTGGGATTAAAAGTGTGTGCTGCCAGGCCCCAAGAGGAAGGGAGAAATAATGTTCATAAGGGAACTCTGAGTAACAAGGAGAAATGGAGAGCATTTGCTTATGATTTTTTTTTAGTATTCATTCATTTGAGATTTAGAGCATTAAGGGAAACCAAGTATTTCAGCTAAAATGCTAAGAAAGGAAGGGAAATAAGGGAGTTCACTTCATATGTATTTCCAAATATTCCCTGGACATTATGAAACCATTTTCATTCTCAGACTCAGGATCTTTTCATTCTGACATATAAATTGTCTGGGACTTTCAAAAATCAGAATCACCAAGTTCATTTTTGGAAATTAAATGCTGAATTTGCCTAGCTGCTCTGTTGTTTCCATATTAAATTATGAAAGTTGTCTAGAGACTTTTGAAAGAAGAACTTGATCAGAGCCTCTCAAATAACTGGTACCTGAGACATACCCAGCCAGGTGGTGTGTCTCAGTTTTAAAACACTGGAATAAACCTCATTTTAGGATTTCAATGCCTGGTTTCTTTTTTATTTATCTAGTTTTTTGAGACAGGTCTCATTATGTAGGCCTGGATGGCCTGGAACTCACTATGTAGCCCAGGCCGCCCTCAATGTCATAAAGATCACCTGCCTCTGCCTCCCAGGTGCCAGGATTAAAGGCACCACCACACATGGCTCATCACCTTTTTTGAAACACTCCTGCAGCCCCTAAACTACAGGATTTTTTTTTTTCCCTAAGGAGAGGACTGAGGCCAGCTGGTAAGGAAACTGGAGATTGTTTTTCTGGGCAGCACAGCTACTTTATCATTTTTGTTTTATATGTATGAGTGTTTTGCCTGCATGTAAGTGTACCACTTGCATGCAATGCCTGGCCAAGGCCAGAAGAGGGTGTTGGATCCCCTGGAACTGGAGTTACAGTTGTTAGCTGCCATGTGGGTACTGAGAATCCAACCTGGGTTCTCTGGAAGAGCAGCAAGTGTTCCAACCCTGGAACAGCTACTTTTAAGGACCTGGGTTTTTATTTTTGTTTTTGTTTTAACCATTCCCCCATCCCTGAGACAGAAGCTTGCTATGTAGCCCAAGCTGGCCTCAAATTTTAAATTCTCCTGCTTTAGCCTCCCGAGTGCTATGATTGCAGGTATACACCACCACTCCAGGCTTTAAGGACCTGTTTTACAGTGGGGGCAGTGAATTGATCCTGCTTCAGTCTGCATTTTCTTGTGGCTACACAGTAGAACCATAATGAGGTGTGAGTGTCTCATATTCCTGAGCTACCATGGCAGCTGGATGTATGCTCAGTTTGTCTTTTAGGTTGTCACTCTCTGTCCTAAACCCTAACCTAGAATGCCTTGGGAAAGGAGACTGTAATATTTATTTATTTATTTTATTTATTGTTTATTTATTTATTGTGCTAGGACTTGAACCCAGGGCCTCATGCATGTCAAACAAGTGTGCTACCAACTGAGCTAATCACACATCCCAGATCTGTGGTTTTTAGGTAAGGTGCTTTCTATCTTAGTTTCCCACAGGCTGATAATTACTAACTGGTGTGTATATGAACTTTAAATGACTAGGGAGTCCTGCGATTCATGACCTCCAGCCTGCCTCCCTTACTCTCCTTTTGTCCTAGCTGTACATTTTTCAGCCTGCCAAACGTGACAGGAGCAGTTGTCCCTGTATTTCATATAATTGGATAGTTTATATTTTTGGAGCAAGTAGAAAAGACTTGTGTTTTTGTTGACGCTGAGTGCTTGAAGCCTTGACATTCCCAGCTTCCTCTTGGAGTGGTTACTTCTGTTTTTAAGAGTGCTGGTCTCTTAGTCATCAATGCTCTCCAGCATTTATTGACCACCTTCTGTGTGTACTGCACTGAGACAGATCAGAGCAGCAGCTGGCAGTTAACTTTTGCCTATAGTTGTAGAGTGTAAAGTGTTGCTTACAGTGGTGATGTTTGTCTAGCATGCAGGAAACCCTGAGTTTAATCCCCTGCACCACAAAAAAGAATGTTTGCCTAGCATGTGTGAGCCTTAGCACACCAAAGAGAAAAAGAAAGATGCATCTCAGTTGAGGTGGTAAGACCATGAAAAGGTAAAAATGTGGGTGTCAAACCATAAGGATAATGAATTCTGTGGATGTAAAGTGGCAAGACCCCAAAGATACGTGCTGTGACTTCAGCAAAGAATATAAAGACCACTGAAGAAAAGAGTGGCACCTTGCCTCCAAGGGAACCTGCACACATGTAGCACATACACAGATACACACACACACACATAAAGTCTAAAAAATAAGAAATGGGGGCTGGAGACATGGCTCAGCAGGGTTAAGAGCACTGGCTGCTCTCGCAGA